AAACACAGCTGATGGAGCATCACATTTGATTAACACAATTTACAGTGTTTCTTGAGCATTATTCAGTACAAAATACTTCTTGGAAAGTAGCAAGGTTGGGTTTTGTCTTTTCCAGGGGTGGGTGGGTATTAAACCTAGGCCTGTGCATGGTAGGCAGGTGTTCTACTGAACTATAAACCCCCAGAACCTTTTTTCACTTTTTATATTTTCAGATAGGCTCTCACAAAGTTGCCCAGGCTGGCCCTGAACTCATTCTGCAGTATAGGCAGGCCTTGAACTTGTGATCCTTCTACCTGAGCCTCCTGAGTATCAGGGATCTTACAGGCCTGTACCATCAGACCCAGATTGGCTAAGTAAACAGAAAACAGTCCCTAGTCTTTTCATTTTTCCCATGATGGCATAAGATAATCCTTTAGTACATCAATTTATAATTAAAAATTAATATGGTGCGGCAGGGCGTGGTGGTGCATGCCTTTAATCCCAGCACTCAGGAGGGAGAGGCAGGCGGATCTCTGTGAGTTCAAGGCCAGCCTGGTCTACATAGTGAGTTCCAGGACAGCTAAGTCTAGAGAGACCCTGTCTCACTCACCACTGAAAATGCAGTTTTCCTGGGGCACTGGGTTAACAGTTGACAACTCAGTTACCCTATACACTAAGACTGTGAGGAGAGAACTAGTTACCAAATTTAAAGGCCATTAAGATTTTTTTTAACCAAAATACTCCAAATTTCATTTTAATGATTAAATCAACAGTTCAAGAAAAGGAAATACAAAACCAGGTGTGATGGTACACACTGGTGGAGTTAAGAGGCTCAATGTTCACGGTCATAGCCATATAGGGAGTTCTAGGCTAGCCTGGGATACATGAGAATCTCTCTCTCTCTCTCCTAGCCTGGGATACATGAGAATATCTCTCTTTCTCTCTCTCTCTCTCTCTCACACACACACACACACGCACACACACAACCCCCCCCCCCCCAAAAAAAAGCACTGGGGTGGGGGATATATACAACAAATGTCTTAAATGGATAGTCAACCTTATGAGTAAATTAAAATTCTATTAATATTAAAATATTGCTTCTCAGAGTGGAGGGATGATACAGCAGTTAAAGGCCATTAAAATTCAGATAGTAGGTTATGGATCAGTGAGATGGCTTAGCAGGTAAAGGCACTTACACAAACCTGATGATCTAAGTTCAATCTTTGGTTCCCACATGGTAGGAGAGAACTCCTGCAAGCTGTCCTCTAACTTCTATACTCACATGCCCAGTAATATACTCTCTCTCTCTCCTCTCTCTCTCCTTCTCCTCTCTCACACACACACAATAAATAAATGTGTCTTTAAAAAGATAGTAAGTTATGATGACAAAAATAATAGTGGTTCAGAGGTACTGACTGGGAAAAGGCATGAAGAAAACTGTGTCCTAAGCACAATGGCCATATGGGTTTTTATATAAGTAAAAGTTCTTCAGACTGTACCATGTTTGTGCAGTTAACTGTACGTACTATCCCCCATAAAAAAAGAAACGTCTTTGAGAACAAGAGCTTAATCTAATTGGCTGCCTGTCTTCTACATAGAACACGGCACATTGCACAATCTACATTTTAAAATGTATTATATGATTACATGAATACTGAAGCGTCTGGGGAGGGGTACGATGTCAAGGGGCTCCTGAGGGGTGCTTGAGATTTAACCTGCCACACACAGTGGCAGGAGTTCTACCTGACATCACTATGTCTGAGAGCTGCTTTGGATCTCACAGGGCTTCTGGGTGGTTTTTGTACATGTGCGTGTGTGTGTGTGTGTGTGTGTGTGTGTGTGTGTAAACAATTTTAGGGATAAAACCTAAGGCTACACTAGGCAAATGCTCTACCACTAAGCTACATACCAGCCTCTGCAGGACAGGTTTTTTAAGAAAAGGGAGGCAGTAGGCTAGAACAGAAGTGTGTTCAAGACAAGAGGTCTTCCATCAGTACTTCCTGCTATGTTCCTTTCCTTTTAAAAACTCTATCCTTGTATATAATTTCTTTTAATCACTCTTACATCAGTTTTACCATTCCCTCTCAAAAAAAAAAAATAAATAAATAAAAGCTACCACTTACTCAGCACCAACTATGCCACAGACTATGTTAGGTGCTGGAGACCCAGCGATGAATGAGACAGATACTTATCTGACTACAAGCCAGTGAAAGGTCTGTAGGATGGGCGCGGTACATTCACAGCTGCACCTCAGCCAGGTGTGGGACCAAGCCTTGAGGAGGAGCCTGCTGTTATGGGACCAGCACTAGCAGAGGCAGAATATGTAGAATATATGGAGGCCTAAGATTTTTTTTTCCCAAAAAAAGCCAACTGTACAATACATAAGAGGAATGGACTATTTTTTTAGCTGGACCACAAGGAAAAATTTTTATTGGGAAAGCAGAATGGAGGCTCTTACAGGAATGAGGGAGAGATGCAAGAGATTTTTTGTAGGCAGGCTCAAAAGGACTAGTATGAATTTAAGGAGACACTAAAATTTGACTTTGAGATTTCTATTAAATGTCTTGGGGTGAGTGTGGTGGCGCAACCCTTTAAACCCAAAGGGGGAAAAATTATATATATATTCAGGTAACAGCATAAGCCAGAATGCTACTAAGCATTGGAGTGCTAGAGGAGCCAGGTCACAGATGCTCGAGACAAAGCTGAAGTTGTGGAGTCCCATGAGATTGCACGGAGGAAACAGCACCACCCAAGGGCTGGGTTAGGAATTCAGCAGAATCTTGTCCGCCACAGAAACACAAGTGGTCAACAGGTAGAAGTTTTTGACAGAATGGACAGGAATGGTAACAGCTGATAAAAAGGCATGGGGTTTGACATGGGTGGGGTGAGTCCAAGACAGAGGCAGATAGGCGAGGAAGGACTGAGAGGTGAGGAGACAGGCTGCAGCACTTCTGAGGTCGGGGTGTGGAAGGGACGGCCAGGAGGGAAGCTGCTGGTACTCTGGGGGATTCTTTTGTTCTTTCCTTTTAAAAAGGCTCAAGAAAATATTGATTGTGTTTATAAACAGAAAGAAGAAACTAAATAGTGATGTGGGGATACAAGGACCACTGCATAAGCAGAATTTGAAAAGGCCCATTCTCTCAAAACTGAGGCCAAAGTACAAATACAATTATGGATAAGAGGAAACATGAAGCAAAATGCATTAAATTATAAAAAAAAAAATGTCGATGGTCAGTAAATAGCACCTGGAAATTTTTAAAAATCAATCACAAATACTTAGAGATGTAGAAGTATCTTAATTCAAGTTATAGAGGAAAAGCTGTGAAACAAGTCAGTGCTTATTTAAAAATCTACCGAGCTATTCTATTCTAACAGCTGTGTGTAAATTCATCAGCACTAACACAGAGTTACTAAGATTTTGTGCTGATGATGTAGCTCAATTGGTAGAGTATTTGCCTATTTTGCACAAGGTCCTAGGATTGATCCTTAGCACCATAAAACCTCACTACAAGCCAGGTGTGGTGCTGCATGCCTTTAATCCCAGCACTTGGGAGGCAGAGGCAGGAGGATATCTGGGAGTTCCAGGCCAGCTGGGGCTACAGAGAGATCCTGTCTCAGTAAGACAAAAAAAAAAAAAAAAAAATCTCACTGTGGCAGCACACTCCTGTGATCCCAGCACTCTCCTGCGGTAGAAGCAAGAGGATCAGGATCAAAAGTTCAAGGTCACCAGAAAGGTGGTGCTCACCTTTAATTCTAGCACTAGGGAGGTGGAGGCAGAGGAGGAGGATCGCTGTGAGATCAAGGCCAGCCTGGTCGACATGAGTTCAGGCCACCTGGGATTACAGGGAAACCCTGTTTCAAAAAAAAAGAACAAACAAAATCCTTGGCTACATAGTTTGAGGCCACTCTGGGCAACAAGAAACCTCGTTGCAAAAACAAACAAAACAAAAACAAATAAAATTACTAACATTCATACTTTAAAAAAAAAAAACAAAAAACCTTTTCTCCCAAATGCTATATGGAGACATTTTGGGTTCATATTCTGAAGAGAAAAAAGTTGTATATTTAGGTATTTTTCCTAAAGATGAATTCCACTAAAAGTGCATTATGTC